AAATAAAAAGGAATTATTAACACATTATGCAATCTTTCATAGGTTGAAGTTGGGGGGCGATGACTACCTCTACAGAAGTTGGATTCAAGGCCGATTCCCACTTCCAGGCATCGGATGCCTTGTCTCGGCGGAGAGTTGTCTGTCGCACCCCGTCCCTTGAGACGATATTACTTGGGCGGAGAGTAGACCTTCCAGATAAGAGGTGCGCCGTTTCTGTCCCTTATCCCCCTCCCCCGAGGACAATCGAGCGGCAAGCAGATGACGCTCTCACCGATGCTCATACTGAGGGTGTTCCACATAATGGAGTTCACCTGGGAGGGAGATTATGAAGAGTTCTGCAGAATCTTCTTTGATGCAGCCAATTGTGGATTTCGGCTCGACAGTGTTCAGAGATCGGCAACCTATCCCCAGCCCCTTAACACCAAAATTCTTCTCGGCTTCGGGTCCCTCAACCTAGGACTCCAAGGAGGAGGCCTCCGACCGATCCTTCTTTCTTCCACTCCGGTTGAGGGTCCAATCCTCAGGCTGGGGCCCTAGCGTTCGACTATTCAGGTCCTTCCAGGGTCCCCGTGCATCACAGATGTACTGGCCTCTTCACCCAGATCTGGCCAACTTACGTCTTCCGACAACATCTCTTATCATAACCCGGACGGTACCTTAGGTTTCGGGAGGTTTCCCTGGCTTAATGTTGAATCATTGGAATCTCCCTTCCCCCCCCCACGAGCTCCATTAATGAGGTAATGGCTGATAAATCTTTCACAAAGGATTCGTAAAAGAATTAATATTGAACTTGTGTTTCCTGCATAATTTCCAGGTTCCTGACGGCTTGGTTAGTCAGATGATGGAGTTGATTCTCCTCGGGATGGAGCAGGAGCTTTCTTCGGCCTTGGACTTTGAGGGCCTTTGATGATCAGAGGAGGAGGAGACCCCATCGTTGATGCCGTTGTTGCAGATTTTTTCTCCCGTTGTTGTTTGTTACTTTTTCCCCTTGCCTGTATTTTCCTGTACTGTACTTTTGACTGTATCTACACTTGGTAGTACTGAAAATTTTATAATGTATGCATGAATTATTCCACTTTTGATTTGTAAAAAAAAACGGGATTTTTTTTTTTTCAAATTTTTTTCAATTTCAATTTTCAATTTTTTCAATTTCTGATCCTTTTTTTTCTGATTTTTTTCCTTATTTCCCTATTTTTTCTTGAATATTATTTTTTTATAACTTTAATCAAAAAATGCTCGAGAAACTACAAGAAAAAATGTTTAAAAAACATAGCAGGATGAAGCAGCAGCAGGAGCTACCAAGGGGGGCAAGCAAAGCGCCTCCTACGGCGGGAGCAGGTGCTTCATCGGCGGGAGCAAGCCTTCCTCCGACGGCGGGGCAGTAAGCCGCCTCCGATGGCGGGAGGAGCCGCCTCCGACGGCTGGAGCAGGGTTGCCTTCAGCGGCGGGAGCAGCCGCCTCCGAGGCGTTTTTTCTATAAAAACGCCGTCTTTCCCAGACTCCAACTCATTCCCCTCTTCGAAATTTGAGCCAAAAAAGGCAGTTTTCTCTCTAGGAAAGTCAAATCAGTTTTCTTCTTCTTCTTTTTCCAAAAATGAATCCCTTTTAAATCACAGCATGTATAATTGGACTAAAGAGTCTCTCCAAGGTAGAAAAGATCAATTTTGGGGAGGTACAGTCTCCTATTGCTACCCTTAGGGGAGTAGTTATAGACTGGGATTTTTTACAGGCCTGCATCAGATTTTGGGACCCGGAGGCCCACGTTTTTCGATTCGGTGCTATGATGGAGGAAATGTGTCCTCTCTTTGAGGAATTCTGCATAATTATAGGATGCGATCCCAATGCCCCTTTGGTTAGACATGAGGTCAAAATTGGGTATATGCGGTCGTTTGAAAAGCTATTCCAGTTCAGCCGGCCACAGGCTAGGGCCATGGTTGTGGATGACCAGAAGGCAATTCTGCTACCACTGATTGATGAATTTTCAGAGACTCCGACAGATGACCCAGACTGGATGAGGCTGAGGATTGCGGGCTTTTGTTTTCTGCTATATTGGCGCGGTTTCTTCGTTTAATAAGGACCCAGGCTTTTGGAGATTTACGACTCTGTCGATGATTCGTCAGAGGCAGAGGACATGGGTGCATCGGCAGGGTATGTGTGCTAGGCCGATACTATCCGAAGTCTTGACAGAGCCGCCTTGGGTTTTGGGACAATTGGATGTCTCTCCGATCATTCTCCAGGTATTTTTCCCTTCTCCTTTTTCCTTATTGTCTCTTCTTTTCTTTTGGTCATTCCTTCGTAATAGAAAAAGGATCTATACTTCTGGTTTGGTTAAAGGACCACCTCCAAGTGGTTGCTGCTTCCTACTTTCTTGCCTTATTAACCCCTCTCAGTATCGTATGCGGAGGATTCCTGATCACTCATCCGTCTATTGATGCATGGGACCTCCAATGGCTGATTGAGTTGGGTCCAAATGAGGTACTTATGGTACATTTCCTTGGCTATGACATCACCTTGCTTTTCCAGGTTTAGCTTCCGCCATACCCGAGTTTACCTTCTAGCCCTTACTTCACATGTTGCACGTGGGTACTGCGCTTCGCGCGTTTTTAAGGCAGATTGGGGGATAGACCAGACTGTTCCTATTGTGGATTGGCACTCTGTTGATTCAGTTATTACTTCGAGTTATTACTCCGGGTGTTACCCGAGCCATCCTTAAGGCCTGGGTTAGAGATCACCACAATGGTTAGGCCCCTACCTAATCCTGCCGGTGTTCATACTTCTCCAGAGTACCGAACCTGGTTCATTGCTGCTGTTTGGCCAATTGAGATGCCAAGGAGGAACGCACTGCTGAGTGCACTTGAGGGTTGGGCTCAGGTTGGCGCCGATGATGCGGACGGGACTGATGAAGAGATTGTGATGGCTCCTCGGACAGGCGAGGTTAGAGAGCGTTCAGCACCTAAAGGCGACATTGAGGATGTTGCCCCACGTAGGCGACGAGACACTTAGATTTTTTGGACTTTTGTTTTTTCTTTTGCTATTTTGACTTTTGACTTTATTTGGAATTCGACTTTGGATTTATCTTTATTCGACTTTGGATTTATCTTTTGGCTTTGAATGTATGTTTTTTTTTGGACTTAGACTTTTATTTTATTTATTTTTGAACTTTATGGACTCTTTTGCTTGACTTTTGGGCTTTCCAAGCATTTCCCAATTTATTTATTCAAGTTCTAACTTTTGCCTAAGTCGCCCTTTCGGGTTTTCAGCCTAGCGAGCTAGGACGCCGATGGAAACAGTTCTCAAGAACAATTATAATGGAATCTTATATTGATGATATTATTGAACCAGAAGGATGGTTACCTTGGTTCGGTACTTTTGGACTCAAGACATGTTGGTACACCGAATTTAATAACTACGGTCCTGGTTCAGACAAGAAAGCTCGTGTCAAATGGAATGGGATCAAGACTATTGATCGCCAACACGCCTTGGATTTTACACCAGGGAGGTTTCTCCGCGGCGATACCTGGATTAAGCCTACTGGAATACCTTACACACCCTTCTTGATAAGACCTTGAAGGAGATTCTCCTTTTTTTTTATTTTTGTAATTTAAAATTTTTTCCCTTAGTATGTCTATATCTGTGAGTTGTACTGGCAATTGACGACTAGAATTTTTTACATTACTGAAACCTGGAAAAACCCGTAAAGATTATGTTTTTCTGTTCTTTGATTGTTAGTGAACAGCATTTTCCATACTTCTATAGAATCATCTATATATTTATTATAGAATCATCTATATATTTTTGTCTATATGGTAATTGTATTATTTTGTATTAATAAACTGTATTTTTGTGGTTTAACATTTTAATTTTTGCACTATTCCTGTGTGTTTATATATTCTCAAATTAGTTATTGGCCATGGATCTTTATATTATCAACAATTATAGCATATATAATGTTAATTTCCATCCTTGAGCAATTCATTCCCAATAAATATGAAAATGTGTAAATATGTAATATGCTTAATGATTTAATTTATTGCATCTCTCTATTTTTTTTTTCAAACTTTGTGATTGAAAATTACATAAATGAAAAATATATTTAACGCAATTCGGATCTGACATGATTTTCATTGTAATAGGTTGAAATGTTCAATTGTCTCGTGTATATAGTGAGCAAAATCTGCCACATTAAATCTATTGAGAAACTTATGAATATTTCAACCCAACACAGTGAAAATTGTCGCAGACCTAAATTGGCGCTGTCCGATAGCAGTACTCTCACTAATGGATCAAACCAATGAAATTAATAATCTTTATTGAAATAATGATATTTTTGACTATACACTTGGATAAAAAAAAAAATCGAAATAGTTTTTAGAAAATTTTTAGTTTCAATTGTTTGGTTACCATATATCCAGTTTAGGAAAGTTTTTTTCCTTACTAATTTTTATTAAAACGCCCTGCATTTTCTGTAAATAATGTTAATAATTAAAATGCAGTAATAGAATTAGAAATTTCGGAAAAAAAAATGATGGGCTTTCTCCGTTTTTAGAATAAAACTGATGAGCCATTGGGCCTTTAAGGGAAAAAAAAGGTTAAAGAGAGATTATTATGATTATTACATTAATAAACACTCTTCAACAAAATGCAAAAAGAAAGAAAAGCACTTTTCTTTTTTTTTTTTTTTTTTTATTTAGAAAGCACCTCGTTTTTAGGACAAAAAAAAAAAAAAAAAACAAAAAAAAAAAAAAAAAATGCCCCACGCGATGATTCGGGACTTGTTTTTCATCGAAGCTCCCAAATTTTTGAACCAAAACCCTTGTGCTTCACCTCTTCTCTCCTTCGTCTCTAACCATGGGCCCCTCGTCGTCTTCAGTCCTCTTCCCCACACATTCGATTCTTTCTCATTCGTCGGACTTATCCTTCCCCTCGTCACCGTCGCCGCCAAACCGTAAACTGCAGAGATAGGGAGCTCTTAAGATCCTGAAAGAAGAGTAATAAGTTCCCGCAATAAGTCCCGCAGCAAACGACGCCGTAAACACCACCACCGCTTGTCAGATTCCTCTGATTCTTACTCCTCCAGGTTCCTCCTAGCAAACTCAAAATCTCTGAGCTTTCTCTCTAGCATGTTTTATTTACCGTTGCAATGTTTTATCAATTAAATGCATGTAAATTATGGATTTGGAGATTTTAGTTAGATGGAAAATCCTAGTTAATTTGATTCCACTTTACTCTGATTTATTTTATTTTATTTTTCCATACTTACAATTTATATACAATCCTATGTGTTAAAGGAATGGTTATCTGCCTCCCATAGACTTCGCACTGAAAATTTTTCTATTAATAATACAATCTTATTAGCGGGACTGCATATGTGGGTATCAATCTTTGATCTAAAGATGCTATTGGAGGAAAAATGGAGCTTCCTATGGCCTGGATTTTCTGAAAATTACAGGCTTAATTGAATATCCTTTAGTTTTTGCTAGAATTTGGTTTTACATGGAATCTGGCATAGAGGCTTATATTATATAGCAGACAGTGTCATTAATATGCGGAAATTGTTATTATGCATAAATACGTATGAGGCTTACATCTCTTGTATGCGTTACAGTTCATCGGACAGTGAGCATCAAACATCTAATCCTTCAAAGAGGCACAAGAAAAATGACAGAACAAAGAAGGTAGTTATTCAATACTAGTTCTCTAACTTCTCATGCTCGCATTCCCTACTTGTTTATTACTAGTAGTTGCTTATCATGTATAATTTGTTCTCTAGAGCAAGGAAAAGGGAAAGGACGAAGCAAGAGTCATCACCATAACGCCAGAAAGCACAAAAGTTAAAGAGGTTAGGCGCTGTTTATTCATATAGCTTTATTTTCACAAGATTGTTAGATTAAAATAACTTCTTTTAGGGGGAAAACTTTCAATGTTTCAATACATGCATGCCTCAAAGAGTAAAACAATTAAAAACCCTGCTCTTGTCATATGAAATGACTTTTTTTGGGTCTATTTGCCCTTCGGTCTATTTGTCCCTCTTTTTACCTGCTTTAGAAGGTTCATTTGTTTTAGGGCTAATATAGGAAGCACAAACTAAAACAAAAAAATAACAATCAAATTGAGGAAATGTGAATGGTGATGGCATCACAAATAGGACAATTACCACGACGTTTACCAGCAATCCACTCTATCATGCCTAGATAATCACCTTCGAGATTACCCGGTTCTACGTAAAGGGCGAAGAGCGTTATCCGTTACTGACCTATGAGGTAAGGGCAGTATCGTCACTTCGGTGATTCAGATTCGTCTGTATAGTCGGTTGTTTGAGGAGTCATCGAATCATATTAGGGTTTAAAAGAGTATTTGAGACTTGAGAGGCGGAAAGTTCTCCCGTCACTGGTGGCGGCTCGGAGGCGAAATCGGTAGAGGAATATTGGATTTTAGCTGTGCGTATAGCGAAGAAGCCTTTCTGCTTGAGTCTTCTCCTTGTTTCTATCTTCATGGAGATGAACTCCAATGATATTGGATTACATTTGTCTTTCTTGTTAAATCTGAACTCTGTATTTTCATAAAATGGAGGTGGACTATTGTGAACCCTCCCCCGAAGGCAAAATTATGCTTGAATGAGGTATGCTCACGTGTGTGTTTTATGAAGTCGCCACCTAATTTATTTTTATAAGGGAAAACTAAGAAAGATTATCCTACCAGTTGATAAATAAAGATTTCTAATCCAATGGGTTTAATATTAAGTTAACTGTTTATTCTTTTTATAGCAAACATCCATGTTTTGAAACATTGAAGCAATCCCCTTTTAAGTCCTTCTATCTTTAAAATATCAATTTCATGTGCTATTCGCACTTTCGCACTTCATCATATTGGTTTGATAAATTGTACATATCTGAGGTACTTATAATACATTCTGCCTATTTTATGGTTGGCTCTTTGAAAATTGGAGCTGGGGTCTGTGACATGGTGCTGGATGGTTGCTTGGTTGACTTGCCTGGTTTTTATTTCTGGCTTGGGTATGTCTTGGCAATCGGAGCTTTATATAGAAGCAGCAGGATGAACGAAGTAGTAGTCCTGTACAGCTCTCCAAGGTATATATATTCCGTTAATAATTTTCTGCTCCTTCTGCTTTGTGCTTTTACCTTTCAATGACCTTTACTGTTTGACTTCTCACAGTTCTTAGGGCGCGAAAAGGATGATGGTGTTCGCCGTAGTGCAGTTTCTGGAAAAAAGGTGAGGATATTCTTTTTCGGCCCTATATTATTTGTTGAATTTCCTTTGACAGATGTTATAGGTACTTGTAAGCAGCAGTTCTTCAGTCTGAAATTTTTTGAATTTGTAGATCTTACTGAAACTGGAGAAATCAAAGGAGGATAAGGAGGCAGAAAATAAGAGAAATGAATTGCTGAAATTCTTGAATGCCAGTTTTGATTGATCATTTGATTTATGGCTGCTGTGAGACAATGGATGAATTAACTTTTTATGTGAAAGGTTGTTGTTGTCGCTAGGACAACAGGAGCAAGGTGTCAGCAGCAGATTTCCTATTACGAGAGGGTTTCTCTAATGGAAACATTATTAAATTGGAGTCCTAAGCAGAACGTTTACCATGAGAATTAGAAAACTTTTGGACATTGGTTGGTTTGGGTTGTATGAAGTTGGTGCCTGTGTAAACATTTCATTTGATAAAATTCATGGCTTATATTATATAAATTGCTATGGTCATGCAACGTAAGCTTGAAAACTTCAATTTTTATGATTAGCAAGTGATGGCATCCACTGGAACTAAAAAGCAGGAACACCATTTTTATTTTATGCCCTGCAGTGAGTAGTTGTAAATTAATTTGTGTTTTTTACACTCTTAATTCAGATTGCAAGTTTAAGCCAACTCTGAATGCGAGTTCAAAATTTTACAATCTTCTCTGCTTTCCTGTTTGGTGGTGTTTCAATATTTACAATAATGCATCAGTAATTTTTTTTTTTTTTTTTGCTTATATATTTAAAAATAATAATATGGTGTGGGAAAATTGATTAAATTTAATAGTCATCAGCGATAATGTACTTGGATATTCTGTCAAACCATCCTCAGCAAAATTCACCACAATCTACACCAGCAGTTACCCATGTAACCCATGTAAAAATTATCATGTTGAAATTTTGAGTTTATCAGATATCATGAAAAAATCATAATCTAATATATAAAAAAAATATCACGGTCAATTATCCTATTACTTATTGCAAATCACATCTTACAAACCAATAATTTTTTGTTTTCAAGAAAAAAAATTCTAGATAATAACATTAAACTGTTTGAAAAAATTTGCATAGCAGTCATCGGAGATGATGTACGCTGGATTCCTCAACGGCATCCCGCATGTTGCTGCCATTATAAATATCACCAGTAACCCATGGCATAAAATCATTTAGTAAGCTACTTTCATTGGTCTCTATGAATCGTTTCAAGTTCAGTAAACACATAACCCACACATCAAGGCGAGTTTAGTAGTGGATTTGTTGCTGCAATCTAGATCAGGACAACCATTTGCATTTTGAAAGCATAATCGAGTGAATTCTTTTGTCAAAACTTAGCAGATCGGACAGCTTTTCGGACGATCTTTAAAATTGATTACATAAAATCTTTTAAATGGAGTTTTTCTGCACATGATTGAGTTATGAATTGTGAGGGCTTGATGACTTATGGAAATCATACAAAAAAATTAGGACGAAGAAAAACAATTTTTTGAAGACATGATTGTTTCAATGGATTTTTTTTTCTCTTGACACTTTTCTATTTTTCCATTGTATATTATAAGTTATGTAAGCTATAATAAAGAACAAATCAATTTATGTGAATGGAATAAAATCAGCTAGTGTATAACGTTACTATTTAAAAATTGAAATCATATATTTACCATAAAAGTGGTGTTATTAACGTTAATTAAAATTACCATAAATTAAAATTTACCATAAACAGGAAAACATTAAATAAGTTACCATTAAAATTGAAATTAGGTTTAGATATTATACGTATTTTTAGGTATTTTCTATTTTTGGCTAGAAATAAAAAGAAAATAAATGGACACAGAATAAAAGATATGTGGTAAGGTTTGAACTAACAAAATTACCGAGTACTTTTTTGCTTAAATATCTAAATTTTTATTTAAACATTAAATAAGTTGCTATTTTTAGAATGAATTATTTGAGATACAAAAGAGTTACTATGACATCTATTTTAAAGAGGATATTTTAAATTATTGCTATAATTATTTGTATGATAAAATATATGCAGTTTCAATTAGTAAATTGCTTAAAATTAATAAATACTTCAACTACGGCTTGTGGCTCAGTTGACAATGCAGGTTAGACATATAGAAAGAGCTCTTGGGTTTGATCCCCATTAAACACACCTATAGAAAAGGGCCGAAAGCCTTAATTGTCAAAAAATAAGCATTTTATTACCAATCTCTACCTAAAAATACTTTGGATTGAATTGTTTGATGAATTATTTATCTTCTTCAAGTCCTTATCAAATTCCCAATTGTTTAAACTAAAAAAGTTTCTTATTATGTAGAATTTGCTATAGACGAATGTAGAATGGTATTTTTTTTTTTTTTTAAATACCATTCTACATTCGTGTATAGCAAATTTTTTCTGTGCAATCTTGAAAGCTGCCTTGATAAGTTCTTCTGTGCAATCTTGAAAGCTGCCTTGATAAGTTCTTTAGGGTCTGTAGTGTTTCCTGCAGATTTTTCAAGGCTTTTTTCGCATGTTTTTTTATAATCAGCAGGTTGGCAAATGGATTTGATGGCTTTCATAGAAGCAGATATTTCACCAGTGCTTTTGTGGCTTTTGCCTGTAATATCCTCACTTTCGCCATTTTCGCTGAAGCCAACGCCAATAGTTACAGCAACTACCATAGCCACCAGGAGAATAGAAGATATGCCAATTATGGCTAATCTCTTGTTGTTTGCATCGTCTGCCATTTTTCTTTTCAATATATCAAACCAAAAGGGAGGGAAAAAGAAAAATGGGAATTAACTCCACTTTCTTTGTTTCTCTAAAATTTCTTTTTTCTTTTCTAATATATATATCTAAATATTTCTGGTATGTTTTTTTTTTTTTTTCTTTTTTTTACAGAATTCTCCCTAGAACGCAAAAGCCAGCTGCGGCTCGAGGGAGAGAGAAATGTCTGAAAAGCCTGCTTTCCGCTGGAATTTATGGGAACACCTCCCTGACAGTTGTGGCTATTAAGACAGAAACAGAGTTTTAGCAAGAGAAAAATATGCTAAATTTAGTTTTTTATTTTTAACAGGTACTATATTTTAGGTTAATTATATGTTATAGGAACATGAGGCTTGGAATTGTTATAGGAAACATGAGGCTTGGAATGAGGGATGGTAAAACCATGGCTATTGATTGCCATTGTTTTCCTACAATGAAGCTTTACTCACGAGAAGAATTTGTCTTGCTATTTTTCACATTGAATACTAATTTAAACTTTCTTCTTCTTTTTAGTCAAAAAGCCTTCTAGATTTAATTTGACTTCATCTGATAATTCTTAAATGAAAATTTAATAAAACCATAATAAATTCAATAATATAACTTCGTTAATATATTGATATTGAACACATTATTACAAATAAAACAATAAATTTCAAACGTAATTTACATTAGACCACCATAATAAGGGACTCCAGTCCTACTCAACCAAAAATCTCCTTAAGTGTTTGAACAGTAAAATTAACAGCTTCTTTAGCACTAATAATGTGATAACCGAGCCAAAGTAACTCTATTGTTGGTATTTGATTCCAGGACCACGGTTATCATATTCAGCATAATAGAGGGTAGAAAGCCCGCAAAATTCATTTTTGACCATGGTGCCCCATCCAGCAGGAGTCAATTACGCTACTAATAAGTGATTGCATGACAAACCCGTTGTTGCATATTTCTCTCCACGGTCTTACCGAAATAGCTTTTTTACAGGTTGCGGAACTTACTCTAGCCAAAAAAAGGTTTCCCCATTCCCATGCCAATATGTACAATTCTGTATTGAAATTTCCAGTGTGTGACGAAGATGCAGTTTTTTCTTGTGCAGTTATTGACATTTATTTTTCCTTGTGCAGTTATGACATTAAACTGACCCTCTAATGGCAATCTAAAATAAATATTACAATTCTGTAAGACAACTGTTGCATCACCCCATATAAAGTCTATAGTGCCATAGATATCACACTCCCTGTAAAATTGCCTATTGCCATCTGTAAGTAACGTGTCTTGATACCCCTCAAAATTACACCTGTAAAAAGCAGACATATCTGCTTCATTTCTAAGTGCAACAGACTGATTTTTAATTGGTCCTGCTGTGTTCTGAAACGTAATCTGGATGGCAACAAATCCGTCTCCAGCCACACCTGCAACCAAGAAATTTGTACACTTTATTATTAGCAAAACGAATTTATAATTTCAAGAATTGATACTTGAACAAGAATCAAGAAACGAGAAGAATAGAGAGAGAAACTTAGAAGAAGAAGAAGAGAGAACACAGAAGATTCTGGTAAATTGCACAACAACTTCACGATTACAGTACAGTGGCTGCTCTTTTAATCAGCTCTAACTGCCTCACTAACTAAACACACTCAATACCGACGCCGGCGTCTATTAAATGACAACGGGCAATCTCCATGCTCTATTAAATGACACGGCAATCTCATACACTTCCCAAATACGACGCCGCTCCATTGAATGATACGGCACTCTCATACGCTTTGTAATACGACGCTGCTCTATTAAATAGCACGGCACCGTATTAAAAACAGAGAATCAAAATTACAAGAAATTCACAAAGCAAAGCAATTTATTGTCTCGTAGTGCAGAAAATTTTTGCTCTCTATCATTTGAAAGTGTACTTGACGGAAATCAAACAGACCTGACTTGATAAAAAAAGATTGGAAGAAGCTTGTTACCCTACCTAGTTTCTTCGTTCATCTCCCCTACCATCTCTGATCCATCTCCACCACCCACAACCACCGCCTTCCTCCCTCATTTACAATTTCAAAGATTGATCAGACTATATTCTCAAAAACATAACAGAGATTTGGGGAGAGTGCTACAATGTACTAGCTAGTGAGCTCGCTACTATAAGCAAATTAGAAAGACTAAAAGAAGAGATAGATGGCTCTTGAAACTAAAGGCATCAACAGAGATTTCCTTAGATAACGAGATCGTCAATGGCAGTAAATTAAGAAGGTTGAGAGACAGAGCCTCTAAGTCGTAGAAACTAGAAAATCGTATGCTTTCACTTACACCCACTTAAAAACAGACCCCCTTAGGAAAATTTTCCAATAGTTTTATTTAACTGCATTTCAAAGAACAGACCAGTTCCTGTAAAAAAAAATAATAAAATAAAATAACGGCCCAGAACCCTCATCTAAAAATTATCGAAAATCAATTATTTGATGGTCAAGATGGTTGGACTGAGGGGTTCGTAGGGAAATCCTGACTCTTAAAAAATAATCCTCATAATCCACGAGGGCAGAATAATTGCTGTCTCAGAAATAAATCCTGATAATCCTTGAAGGAAAGAAAAAAAAGAAAAAAAAAAAAGAGAAGAAGACAGAATTGCCAAATGAAGAAATAAGATTACCAAAAGTTGCAGAACCGGGAACCGGATGAACCCCAACCATCACTGCTACTCCGATTGCCAGTGATGATAGTTTTTCCGATACCATCACCAATCATCATCAAGTATTTCTTGTGAGTGGGTATGGAAATATACTCGTGGTAAACTCCAGCAACGATATGGATAACGAAATATCCATCCCCCACAAGAGCGTTATTAGGTGCAGCAAGCACTGCATCACTAATAGTAGAATAGTAGTAGAATAGTCT